CAGGCCAAGGAAAAGGCCGATAGGAAGACCCTCTGGGCAGTCAAGCAAATCTTTTTTGACAAGTACAGGGATTTTCTGTCAAGCTACCTACATCTGAAAGATAACGATTCTCATCAAGATATTGTGGACAATCTCGAAGAAAAAATATATAAGGGCATTAGCGTACAAAAGGCTCTCAGCAGAATTATGCCTAAACACCAGATGAAATTTGACGGATTGTTCCATCAAGATGAAGAAGACGTAAGCGAGGAAGACAGTGACGATTAAAGACTAGTCAACATTACAATGACGATATAATTGCGAAGAAATACATTGGGACAGACAAATAAAAACACGAGTGTTTTAATGAGAAATGACGTCAATAAAGCAATAATGTCATAACGTATATACTAATTTCTGCAGTTGTATTTTTCTTTGTTTGTGTTGTCTTATCAATCGGAAAAGCCTACTCTCAGTCATAAAATTAGCGCTTGGACACGCCCTCTAAATAACCCCCGTTATATACTCGTAAATGAAACAGTCATCCTCGATTTTGTAAACAAATCCGGCACGGAGGTACAACTAGGGTTCGGTGCATTCCTATACAGACAGCGTTAAAGAGGCACCATTTTTCCCGTCGAACGCCAATCCCCCCACCCCCTCAACACCCCCCCCCCCGAGTGGTTTCTCACACGTCCGCAAAAAGACGAGCACGTTACGATTGAATTTTTAACTATGGATAGGCTTTTGCTTGGTTTTGGGGTCGTTTTAGTACGAAATATTACAAAATGCACAGTTGTAAAGGATGGTTGTGTTATTCCGATACGCTCAATCGGGCACTGTCCAGGCCATAGTTCCCTTTAAAAACCACATGCCCGCACGTTTTGTTATGGCTGTAATGCGCTTTAAACCACTGAATCCATTCCTTATTGTACGCGCATCTGCTGACTATAGAGCCTAATCGATAATTTAGCCGTCACGGATTAAGAAAACTTGAGCGCTATCTGATCAGACGGCCGTAATGTATACAGTAGTGTACATGTGTACTTGCATTTGCTCTGGCTGATGCCAAAACCTTCCCTTTTCTACGATCACCGCGCACAGACATATATTTTTACTTGGATGATTCTGGTGGCAGTGTAGAAGAGTGTAATTGGTATTGTATCGATTAACAAGAGGAATATAGGCGCACGGACGGAGTTATTTATTTGCTCCAGGATCGGTGCTATCATCGAGGGGTGATCGACCACCGGTCTCCGTACAGACGCATGGATTATGGATCGTGGATTTATCATATACCCCCCTGGCCGACACAGGTTGTACCTTGCAAGTATGCTGCGGTGAGTGTTTGTTTATAACTTGGAAAACGCAACGTGCACAATACCCATAAACCCAATACAAATGACTTTAAAATAATTCTTCAAATAGACAATCGTACTCGTTTCAGTCTGATCAACGCAACATTCATTTTTGCCATCAATCGCTGCTTTCTGCTTTCGAGCATTCGGAAATCCAATTACTATTTGTATCGATCGGATTAACTTCGTAACAATACTAGTGCGCTGACTTGGCACGCGCCCTCTCCCGTCTATTGTTGGGGGATTAAAGATCCGACCAGCTGGTCGTTCACAGGGACTAACGTATGAAACTCATATTCGGGCTAATATCCAAATGTACCATAAAAATATATATATATATTTTTTTCCATACCTTATGCAATCTTTCCCATAGAATAGGTTAAACTGTACCCGGTTCCTTATACCCACACCTATTCCCTATTCATCCCATCCATTCATTAGGTCAAACTGTGCCCAGAATTTCATAACTTCATTAATTCATATTTATATCTACATATTTTCATATTTCCATATTTATGTGACCTTTACATATTTCTATGCCCAAGGTCAAACCGTTCTAAGAAGTCCCCCTCCACTACTTCCCCCCCTCAAATTATACACACCCCTTGATCCAAACTTGAATCCGCCGCCCCATCACGAATTATAGAACATGTATAGGCCTACTGTAAGAAAACAAACAAATTGTCATTAGGACAAAAGTCATTTTGACAGAACTTAAACAGAGATTTGGTTCTGAGGTTTCTGTCTGTAAAACTGTCTTTTCTTCAACATGCAGCTAAAATACAGCGTTCCTGCTTGTGCTCCCCCAATAAGAATTTTTGGATGGCAAAATTAGCCTTTATCGCCAAAAACGCAATGATTGTCCCGTCCATTGAGGCCCCCAAGTAACCCCTCCCACCAAACTTGACCCACTTCACGCCACTGCAAACTGTTATAAGTGACTACCAATACGTCATTTATTTCGAAACCTCTCAGATCCTACAATACCTAATTTGAACCCTAAAATGCCCTTTTAAAAAAATGTTGCTAAAACGTCCAGTTAAAACAACATACACTGTTTCGAATTTTCCAGCATCCTTATTTCCTTCTTCTCGACATAATAAAACAAATGTGGCAACATGTTTATATATATTTTTTTTAAAGATCTGATCACAAACGTCACATGAGCAGGAACCAGGAAGTGACGAAATGCCGTGGTTTTAGCTGATTTTAAACATTAACTTCCGCCTTCGTTCAGATCAGACGTACAGAGAATAAATCTCCGATCAGTCGTTTGTTCTCTGATATTTTTGACGTCGTTTGCTTTTTTGGAGAAAGCCAGGATATTGAGTGAGTAGAAATTCAATTTTATTTTATCCCAAGTAGGGTGGGATGCGAGCTCAACAACAAGTCCTTCTTTTATGTTTGAAAACCACTTCGAATCTGACAATGAAAATAATATGAGAAATGAAGACCTATATGAGCTGGAGCTTATGATTTTGGATTTTGTTTGGCAATAAGAAACTTCACAAATTCGTGGAGGGAGCGTAACGAACGATGCAAATCTTCATTCAAAACTCTCATGCCAAACAAAAATTCAACGTACAAAACGATTTTGTTGAACGTGAACGTATTTCAACAATAGAAACATTAAAAATAAGTGCTACCTTTTTTTTTGAAAATGGCACCAAAATCACACGAAGTTGAGAAATATGAGAGGCCTAAAACTCTGAAGCAAGTCAGTTTCGCTTCTTTTCGAGATTTTACAAAAAGGTTTATTCATTGCATATACAATTCATTTTCAAAAACTCGAACCGTTTCTTCTGGTAAGTGGTAATAAAAATGTTGATCGTTTCATAATGGGCTCATGGAATGCATACAAAAACATTCCGGTATATTCAAAAACGAATCACCAAAAAAAATACTTCACTTATGTCTGATGGTCGAGTCAGTTTCTTGAAATTATAAACCGTATTTTTTAAGCAAATAAGGGCGCGGTGACGACTTCTTTTTTATCTGGATACAAACAGTAGAAATACCGACTTAGCAGCTGTGAACTCTACTTTAAAAAATGTTGATAAAGCTACACGGTTATGTCCATAACATGGGATTTCCGTTTGTTTGAATACCCGAAACTTTGCCATCATTACAGCACCCCATTTTTTTAAAATTTGGCCCATTGTACATGATTATGCTTTCTTCATTTAATCTTTGTAACAAGACCGTTGTCTTTTTGAGTCTTCGTTGTTTTATCTCTTTTATATGAATTTCACTTCGTGAAGTTCCTATCCTTATGCATATTATTTTTAATAAGCACCATATTTGTTTTATTTTTGGTGTTTATAGAGTAAGAAAATAAACAAGCTAATATTAAACACAGACATTTTGTGCACCATATGTGAGAGTTTGGGATATTGACCTGTAATCTGAGGACTACGCGGAAGTGTGTAGAAATATTAGTTTGCGTGCAATCATCTAGGCCAGCTAAGAATAACAATCATGTAGGACGAACAGGAACTTGGCTTCGAGTTTATCAAAAGGACAATATCAACGGAGCAAAAGGCTCTGATAAAAGCTTGACGTTAGATTGTTTTATGTTGTTTTTTCATGGAAATATAAATTTAATCAATGCACTTCGTGGACATATCAATTTTATCATATGGCGCTGATACGGGGGGGGGATGGGGGGGGGTCAAAACCCTAGCTCGCCCTACTCTGACCCCAAAACAACTGAGAATTTTTCTATTCCCCCTGGATGGGATGCTAGTCCATCGCAGGTTACTCCCCAGCTAATGCTGGTACCCATTTATACAACTATATGTGGAGAGAGGCAAGTGGGGTGAAGTGGTTAAGGACCAACATTATGTAAAGCAGCTGGATTCGAACACCTGACCCTCTGATCATGAGTCACAACCCCTACACTCTAAAAATTGTGTTCAGCAATTAAACACAATCTTGCTATCACTCTGTAAACATGTTTAGATGTTAAAAATTACGTCGTCAAATTCCTAAACATCAATGTTCAATTGCTAAACACTATCCATCCTTACTCTAAACATGTTTAGTATTTAAACACGTTTACAAACAGATAGCAAGAAAGTGTACTAGCATTATATTCACTGTGTGGACTTCCGAACAAAAGATGTCCACATAAACCAGTTTTCAGATACGTTGTGTGGACTTGCCCACGTCCACACAAGGTTGTGTGTTTGAGATTTTGATGCCACGTTGCAAAAATATTCACGACGTCTTAAAAATATTCACGACCGGTCGCAAAAATATTTACGACGAGTTGTGAATAAATTCACGACGTCGCAAAAAAAAATCACGACATGTTATGTCCCTTCAGGGCCACCATACATTCCTCCTACGCCGGATGGGTGAAACAATTGCGAAAATTCGTCACGGCGCATAGTACCAAAAATGGTCAGCTCTCAAAAGTAGCCGCAAAGTGCACGTACTCAATTGTATCTCGTGGGATCTCTCATGTTTATACGGAGCTTGTAATGGTGATTTAGTTCGAGTATTACAGATAAGGACATAATTGCTCCTAACCAAGCGGCCTTACAATAAACTTTATCATCACTATTTATTTCACATCAAGTGCGTGGACATATTTACGTATCCATTCTTGAATTTCACATTTGTTTGGTTTATTTTCGTACTTTTGCATTTCAGTTCAAAATGGATTCGTTTGCCATGGCTTTGATTCTGTTCCTCACTGGTGTTCTTATCGGAACTTGTCAATCATCTACCTGTCGTGCGCAGTGTGATTACGACTACGTTACTGCAAGGGTTGACTGCTCCTCCCGTAATCTGAGCTGTATCCCCGTCAACTACCCTGACTCCCTCGTCATGGATCTCAGCCACAATGACATATCGGTGCTGGAACCAGACGACTTCAGCGGGACGTTCACGAGGTTGGTTGAGCTGTACCTTGACTACAACGACATATCTGATGTGACGTCACTGTTGGAGTCAACCGGGTTGGGAAGCCTGCAGAAACTCTCGTTAGAACACAACGCCATATCGGCATTGCAGACTTCATGTAGCCTCCACTCCCTTATCAATATCTCGCTTGACTATAACTCATTGGTAAACAATTTTCGGTTTCCAAACTGCAGATCCTTGGTATATTTTTCGGCAAATTTTAACCCTTTAACTGGTTTCTATCCTCCGCCAACATTACCATCTACTATCAGCTTGCAATTCACTAATATATCAGGCTTCCATATAACAGACAGGGATGTCGGCACACTCTTATTAGATAATAACAAATTGTATAGTTTTACATTCACTGGTGACAGGGCATATTTAGTCTCCCTCAGTCATAATAAGCTGAGTACCTGTACATTGACAGCATCGTCCCTGTTTGAACTCAATGTAGCAAGCAACGGATTAAAAGGCCTTCAATCAGTTGATGTACATATACGTGGAGGAAACAACATTAGAAAACTGAACGTAAGTAACAACTCTTTTGATTCATTTATACAACCGGATTGGGCAGAAGGGCTTCAGATCTTATACGCTGATGACAACATACTGGCCAACCTGTCCCCTACTACCCTACAAGGATTCTTCAACCTGACGGAGCTCCATATAGCAAATAATCGACTCGTGTTCATCTCGCCAACGGCTCTGAGTCAAATCACTATGCTACGGTCTCTGTATCTCGATGGCAACGCCCTGACGTCATTGTTGGGTGGAATATTTCTCAACAAACCTGACCTAGTAGAGCTTTCCATCACAAACAACCAACTCTCCGAGTTACATCCGGATTCCTTCCTCGGTCTGGACTCGCTCGAACGCCTGTATCTCGCTGGGAATCGACTGGTGTTCGTCAACTCGGAGATGTTCTGGCAGATGCCTGGCCTTACTACGATGGATTTCTCTCAAAACAAACTTGAAGTTGTTGATTTCATAAATTGTAGCCTTCTCAGCAACTTACAGAACATCCTGCTAGCTGACAATTCCATTCATGACATCAGTTACATACTTGGTCATTGCGATAAATTGCAAGTCCTGAACTTGAGTTTCAATCAAATCAGAGTGGTTCCAGTTGACTCTCTTACTGGGGGAAGCAGAGCGCTATCCAGACTTGAGCTTGAAGGCAACCCACTTCAGTGTGACTGCCGGTTGACGGGTCTACGTGACTGGCTTCGCAACAATCCTCCGTCTCTTCTCCCTCGATGTCAAGGTCCACCGCAGAACTCAGGAGCAGTGGTTTCAGACTTGGACATACATGATTTCATATGCGATCCTCCAAAGGCCATGACTTATATGAACCACCTTAACGTGATAGTCGGTCAGACAGCGATTCTATCATGCACGGCGACTGGTATACCCATCCCCAACATAACATGGCTGAATCCCAACAGTACGGTGATATTAGACGAATGGCAGGACAAAATTTCCATTTCAAGAGATGTGACTTTACACATCATGTCAGTGGCGCTTTCTGATCAAGGAACGTACACGTGTTTGGCCCAAAACATCCTGGGTGAAATTGACAGAGCTGTGGTCAATCTGACTGTTACCGAAGAACTGAAAGTAACACACACTGGCGTCTCTTTGGTTGCGACTGTCCTCCCCAACATGTTTATCACCCTGATTGTCACACTCGCTGTTGTTGCCTTGGTCATCTCTCTCCGTCGTCGTTATAAGAAGAAAGATCATGCCACCTCGGCAGCGGAAGGGGTCAGGGGTGGTTCAAGGCTAACGGTCGGTTTCCGTAAAAATATATCTACAAGATCAGACGAAGGCTACGTTAACGATACCGTAGAGGGCGAGTATATCCAACCAACTTGTAAGGAGGACACAGGGGAGGAATACGAGGTACCATCTACGGCAGCCAGACATCATTCTGGAAGATACCAGAGGCACCTCAAGGTCATCCCATCAGCAGAGATGGACGATGCCGACGTCTACGAACCAGTCAACATCGGTGGCGAAACATAAGACGTTGGACACGATTACAGTTTTTAACGTTGAAAGAAAACCCAAAAGAATACCTGATAAAAACCAACGGGATACGTTAGGAATCGAACCCGGGCCACATAGGTGAAGGACGAGATAACGAATCTGACTAATTTGATCCTACGCCTTTAATCAATGTAAATGGCGTCTCTTTTCTTAAACATTTTAACATGTTTTTAAAAAAGGTTTCAAAGTGTAAAATGAATTTCGTGACATTCGTTACATTGTACTTAGATTTATCATGTCGACTGTAAATATTATTCAGAGAAAGTAGAAATAGCTTCAATTTAATACAGTTAAAAATCATGTTTGATAAGAGTGGATTGTTACAAGCAAATGTACATTGTTTTAAGCCTACTTTTTCCATCTTGACCCTTGTTATATATTGATCTTCCATCTTTACTAAAAGACCTGAGACGTAATGACGTAATGGCTTTGTTTACATATGCGTTTTCCTATGGGAGCGAAGTCGGGACGCTAGATAAAGTGGGGACCGTCTAGTACATAGGAAAGCGCACTTGTAAACAAAGCGTGATGTCATTAAGTCTCAGGCCTATTGGATGGTAGGTCAGACAAAATGTGTACCAGACGGTAAACTTTTGCAAAATGGTATTTATCTGGCGTCGGTCAAGAACAGAATACAAGACAAGGCATGCCTAGTAAAGCTGGGCCCAGAGCACACAAACTTTTACTCAATTGATTCAGAATTTCTATTCACTGGAATTCTTGGGTTTTTTTCATCCACGAGGTGCGCATGGGCCGGATTGAGCCCTTTCATTGGCGCTTCGGCTGGTGGTTATCTGATTCCAAACTTTTGGGGAAGGGTGAGACTTATATAGCAAGTCTAAATCAGTCAGCGAGTCATTCAGTTAGGCGCAAAGATGACTATAGGGTGGCCCATCTTGGATGAGCAATAAACACGTATAATACAATGGAATGGTTTGTTTTTGTTGATGATCAGCAGTAACACGTATAATGCAAAGAATGGTTTGTTTTACATGTTGGAACGGACAAAGTAAATCTATGGTCTAGAATGATATTTTTAATGATTTAATTGTAAATGATTGATCTAGTTTTTATTGATACATGCAGTAGAAAAAAATATCGGTATGCAAGAATTTTTTTCAATGTATCTCTTAGGTATAATATTTTAACTTAAAAATAATAAATGAAATGTTTGTAAATAAGCTTGCATAGTTCTTTTAATAATGATATCAAAACATGTATAAGCAAAATGTAAATGCGAACTTCATCTGTTTCCCATAATAAAAGGGTTAACTACAAAAGATCTGACATAATTATGATTATTCAAGCTGCATGCATTATTAAACATGTTGTTCAAAATAATAAACATAATGTTTCGATAACGAACATTGATATTAAAACGTAGTGTACAGAAATGTAGTATTTTTCAAGTTTATCAGGACATGACAATATAATGAACGATACCTTTCCTCCCGAGAAGGAGTCTTGCACGGAATTTGGAGCTTTTTATTGGGTTAATAAGTTATAGCTTCTGGTAAATGGACATTAAGAGAACATTTGTTTAAAAGATGCTGGTGTTTAGATCAGCAGCTTGTTAAGTCGGATGTATAGTTCTTAATGTTCTATTGCTCGCTAAATTTAAGAATACGGAAACATGGAAAGGTGATAAATTGTTGTCGTACCTAGTGACGTGACAAGAGAATATGCGAATGAGACCTGGTGCAGGTTTTTCAAAGTAATCAGCTGGAATTTGTGTTTTGTTTTCTTCCTTTTATTGCCAAGAATAATGTGTATAATGCATACAAAAAATATTTCACTAATATAATCTGACGATAAGACTGAATTAGTGTTGTCCATTAATTTGCTATGGTCTGTTTAGTGAATACTAGAAAATATACAACATTTGTTTTTGCTGATATTTTTTTAAATGGATGGATTTGGGGGTTGGTATTTTATAACAAATTTTGTTACACTGACTTGTTGCAAGTTTTAGGTTGGTAGATGCTGGAAAACCAAAAAAATAATCATGCTTTTGCATAGTTTGGTTGCCTGACCCCACTTTTGATGAAACGGAGTAAGTTATAGTCGTCAGGGAATTGTAAGGTCAGGGAACCAGTCTAGCTGGCTTGTAACCGTTCATAGTGTGTAATCGATTACAAACAAAATGCAGACTAACTAAATATGATAAATTGGGAGCAGTATTTGAAAAATGCCAGTTTTGTTTCCAACGCTGGTCGGCCGACCAGTCTTGGAATTTGATACAAAAATACCACTTTTCTTGAAAATGTCAGCACACCAGGTGCCATGATTTTACAAGATGCTTTAGACTGTCCCTGACTTACAGTCCAATAAGGTATTTCGTGATGAATTTGGTAGTTTTGTTTTTTGATGTTTGCGAATGTTGTATATTCCCTTTAAGCACAATATCGTTAAGTTTTACTGTTAACCTCTGTATAAGCAGAATAAACATGGATGTTTACACATGAAATGAAGTGTCTCAAAGCCTCTTGTTTTAAATAACTGAAAAGTTTTAACTTACATAGTAGATGAAGCACAAATAATTATTTTATTCACGCAGGTATTATTCCCTCTTTCTGGTTCACATTCTGTTTCTTCGAATATCAAAATTGATAAAAACAAACAATCGATGTTCACACTGTAAAAAATGTTGGACAAAATGGGTTGCTATGTAGACCAGCGTTGGTCAATATATCAACAGGGAAACTCTTGGGCAAATGCCTCCCAATAGTTGGACAATTTTTAACCAAATCAACCCACATTGAGGTAATTTCAAACCAATGTTGGTTCAAATTACATTGCCAAACAGTGTTTTACCCAACATTTTTACAGAGCACCGGCCAAAACTTTGAAGCACTAGGGAAAAGAAACTTATTCGAACGAACGTGCCGCACATACAGACCACTTACTCACATGTCTGACCGATGGGGGCGCTGTTGGAAGCGGACGGTGCGGACGGTCAGTTGCGCACATCGAACAATAGGTGGCGCTGCGGAATATTTGCCGACATATCCTACACGATTTTTTTTTTTCAACAAAACGAAAATGGGGGTGCGTTAACCCCCCGGGTGTGTGATCTTGTTATCTTTTACAACCGAGGACTTGGGACAATGGTGATTAGTCCTCGGAAGATGTTCGTGTACAAACCTTATGGGACGTGTTGAGAAAAGTTAAAGTACATGTAAGCGAAAGAAAGGAACAATATCAGGTACGTCCTCATTCGTATGGGCTCCGTGCACTAACAAGAGGGCGCGTTGACGGGACACGTACGCATATGCGTACTGTACTGTACTGGTTCGCGCGCGAAGTACCGTTGTCATATGAAAATCGGACTCGTATGAAAATCGGACTCTTTTTCCCTTTTATTGGTTAAACCCTCTCACGTGACCGGTCCTCATCCTAATTATCTATGCATGAGCATGCGCAATATCACCAATGAGTCCGTATTTCATAAAACCTAAATTCATGCTACACCGTCACGACTTACTTATCCTGAATGTGCACAAAGTTAAGCCATAGGCCTAGCGTGTTCGTTCGAATTTAATAACTTGCGTATCTCCCAGACTAATTCCCGCCCCCACCCCACCCCCAATAACTTTGGATAAATCGAAATACGGAGTGGATAGACCGGGAACCAGTCTAGGTCTTCCCCAACTCTCCTTTTCTGGCCGTTGAAGGGGTACTCTTGCACGGAGCCCATAAGATAACATGTACGTGGCTGTATGCGCCTATATGTACATGTACAAGCATTTCATTGTGGACCTGTGAACAAAATATGTCCACACGATTCAGGAACTCAAGACAGACTCTCATAGTCATGTCCACACAGTGCCTCTCACAGGTCCACACAGTGTTTTCACTTCGTGAAAATAGTGAGGTTGGGGCTATGCATGTTGCAAGGTTACTTAAATAAAGTTTTAGTTATTTGTTTGGAGAAATGTGCTCGTATATATTATAAGATGGAATTTTGCGTCGGGGTGATATAAATCAAATAAGGTCTTGCCCTTCACCGACGTTTAAACACACTGAGTATACAGTGTTTAAACGTCGATGAAGGGCAAAACCTAATTTGGTGCTTGTATATACTTCCATTATGTTAAAAAAAAACCTTCAATACTAAAACTCAGAGAATAACAGATGTACGTCGTTTTCATACGTTCAACCTGAGTTTGTTCTTGTTCTTTATTTCAAGCAATGTATCTTGAATATGGAGGATTGACACTATGATGACTAAGTTAATTATAAGACATTAAACATTTCTTTTTAAACATTTCTATGGTTTTTGAAACAAATAACTGCAAAGACAAACAGTTTGTTTAATGGCCAACTTCCACTTTTAATATGATTGCATGTAGTTTGCTTTTTCAATTTTTTTTTTCCCGAACGTGAATATTGTTTACAAGCGAATTTCTCGGGATGATCTATTTTGATATAGGTCAACAGGTGGGAATATTCCCCGATCCCACGCCGATGGACCTTGTTCATACCTGTAGAGATGTCCCCGGAGAGCTTATTTCGAAAGTATAATCGGGTATGACTAAATTCTGGTCAGGAATTGTTTGTGTTACTCGAGGAAACGTTTAAAAGAAATTATCATACAAACCGAAACGGAAGGTGGCACGCCAACGTGTACACATGATCCTGCTTAATCATTACAACTCCGCGCGGTGTGTAATTTTCCTCCAACACGTGACCTTTGTGCCAGTCCATATGGGTACGACATTCTTTGAGATCTACTGCATTTCCGTCGATCGCAATTAGTAACTACGCCAGGCTGAATTTATAGCCTCTAAATTCCAATAAAATCCACATCAAAAACTAATTAGATTGATTTTTTTTTCGGGGGGGGGGTGATATTTTCCGCTGTCCTCCCGATTACTTGTCCGTTTCTTGAATTGAACAATGCATGCGTGTGACGTGTTTCCGCCACTTATCAACTCCAGGACCAGGGGCTGTGCTGTCTGACCCGCTTGAGCCCC